ATTATTTTCTGCTTGGGTGAAATATTCCCTAAATATCTGTTAGGTTCATTTTGGTTCAGAACATCTGTTAGCTCTAGCTGTTTAGTTTTTGTCTTGATGACCTATCTGTTGGTAAGATTGGGGTATTGCAGTCTCCCACTATCATGTGTGAGGGTTAATATATAATTTAAGCTGTAGTAGTGTTTCTTTTACAAACTTGGGTCCTCGTGCTTGAGGCATAGATGTCACAAATTGCAATGTCCTCTTGGTGGATTTTTCCTTTGATTAGTGTATAGTATCCTTTCCTATCTCTTCTGATTAGTTTGAGCTTGAAGTCTATATTGTCAGAGATTGAAGTTGATACACAAGCTTGTTTCTTAGGTTCATTTGCTTAGAATGTCTTTTTGGATGAGTATTCACACATTTCCTGGAGATAATGTCTATCCTTAATATTGAGGTGTGTTTCTTGGATACAGCAGAAGGATGCATCCTATTCTTGTATCCATTGTGTTCGTCTGTGTCTTTTTATTGGGATCTATTTATTTTCTCCCACTGTGTTTTACTGTGTTGCTTTAAGGAATTTTTTTCTCCTTTAAGGGCTTCTATCATCTCCATTCAGGCTGTTTTAAGATCTTTTCTTATGTTTCAGCTATGTTGGAATATTTAGGGTTTGTTGTGATAGTGTTGCTCTAGTGGAAACATATTGCTCATGGTGTTATTGATTGTGTTTTTATGCTAGTGTTTAGGCATCTGGGTTTGGGATCATCATTGGTTTAGGTGCTGATTTCTGGTTTTGTCTTTGTTGGGTGGGTGTTTTCATTCGATTCTGTTTCCCCTCTGGATTTTAGGAGAATGTGATGGCTGTGTGTTGCCTGGCAGGAAAATTTCTGTGAACCTAATAGTTGTGGCCCCTGGGAGTTTCAGGTGAAATGCACTTTGGGGGGATGGCACATAGGAATGGGGATAGGCTGGGTGTCTGAAGGGGTTCACAGGAGGAGGAACAGCAAAATGTTCCACCAGAATCTCCTTACTTAGTCTCCTTGAAAAAGGTCAGACAGTGAAGAGAGGTCTGCAAATATTCTGCTGTAATTCCTGTGATGAGACTAGTTGGACTGAACCTGTTTCCCTGGCCTGTTCAAGTGGTATGTTCTCAGGAAATGTCTGCTCCTGTTGGAGGCTGGAATAATGGGATGAGTGGAAAAAGAACGGTTGGAGGAGAAAACCTTTGTGATTCCTTTGGGATGGAGTCAGGGGGTAAAGTGAGACCACAGCAGGGGTTGAGACTGTGGGGATTAAGACTGTAGGAGCAGAAGGAAAGAAGACTGCAGGCAGCAATCTTCCCAGACAGGATTTGCCTTTGGGCTAGCAGGGAGGTACCTATTGGAGTTGGAGACTGGGATATTGCACTGAGTGGGAAAAGGAGGTTAGGAGGGGTAGATCTGTGTGATCCACATGAGATGGGGGAAAGGGGAAAGGGAAGGTTGGATTGGGTGTTCTGTTGGGGTGAGTTTGAGGGATTGGGTCTGGAGAAACAGATGGAAAGGTGAAGGTCTGAAGTCAGTCTACTTGATTCCCTTCTGGGTTTATGGGTTTGGTGGGGTTGCCTGTTGGATTTGGGGGCTGGAATAAAGCAATGAATTTGGAGAGGGAAGTGGTGAGGGGAAGGTCTGTGTGATCCACAAGAAATGTGGGTGGGAGGGGAAAATGTGGGTGGGATGCAGCAAGTGTTCTGTTGCAGAGCTGGGAGTTAGACTGAGGGATGGGTCTGGAGGAACCAAGGGGGAGGTGAAGATCCACAGTCAGTCTGCCTGGTTCCCTGGCAGGGGTGGCTTGTGGGCTAGCACTGGGTGCTTGCTGAATTTGGGTTACAGCCCAACTTCAGAACGTCATGATCTTCTCCCAAAGAGACCATACCCTGTCCTTATCCTCTCATCTTCACATCTCTGCTCTCCCTCGAGCCCTAGGAACAGCTAACCAATTTTTATCACCTACTTTTGTCAGCTAACAGTAACTTGCTACGTACTAGATTTCAGGATACGTGGCAAAGCTTTCTCAAGTTCATCTATGGGATGGCCAGCTATGATGTGGTCATCTATGTGTGTTGGCCCCTTTTATTTCAGAAAACATTCCATAGTGTATTGCATTTTAACACTTACTTATTTCATGTGTGTGTAACTTGCCCACCTTTACCTGAATAATTATATTTGATATTACAATTGAAAATATCACTCTCGCAGCACCACCTTGTGGACAGTAGTGAAAACACTTTTTTTTCGTAGTTAGGTTCAGTCACAGAAGGAAAGAAGATGATATAATATTTTGTAGAAGTTTACCACATACTAGTCACCCCAAGTCCTTTTTGGAAAGAGTTATGAGACGAGTACTTTAAATATGGTTAAACTATGGTGGTGGAGGTGTACCTCTGTTGGTAAAGGGCTTCCCTAGCATGTGTGAAGCCCTGGGTTAAATCTCCAACTCTATAAACCAGGCTTGGTGCTGCTCGCCTGTAATCCCAGCATTCAGGAGGCAAAGACAGGAGGATCAGAAGCTCAAGGTCATCCTCAGCTACAGAGTTCAAGGCCAACCTGAGATTCATGAGACCCTATGCCTCATAAATAAATAAGTTAGCAAATTAATTGAAACTGGATACTATGAAAATAAGTGGTTGAATTCACTCAAAGTTGGCTCGCTCTGATTTTTAACACAATCATTTATGAAAAATACCTTTTCTTTAAAGATTGTTTCTGATGACTACTAACAACACCTTAGAGATTTATGACAAGATGCATTTCTTTTTTTTTTTCTTATTTTTATTTTTATTATTAGTTACATTTTATTAACTCTGTATCCTAGCTGTATCCCGCTCCCTCATTCCCCCCCAATCCCATCCTCCCTCCCTCATTTCCTCCCTGCCCCTTTCCAAGTCTACTGACTGGGGAGGACCTCCTCCCCTTTCAGACAAGATGCATTTCTACAGTCCAGCTTTTCACTTATTTTCATGAGATCAGGATCTTTTAGTGTTCCCTGAGAGACAGGAACTGAACTTGAGGCCGAGTTCAGATGAGGCACATGCTCTGCCATGGACCCACACCCCAGATCCAGCTCAAACACATCCATCAATAGCAAGTCAGATGGAAGCACCTAGACTTGCTCCGCTGCTGCACTTGGCCTTTTCTGACCTCGTCTTCAGTCTGGATTATCTTTTCCCACCATACCCTCTTTTGGTGCCAACTGTATCCCTTGCTTGTGTCCTTTAAGTGCTCACTCCTGCTCCGTTGTTCAGACTGGCTCCTGTGGGTAATTGAGAAGTTTTCTCTCCCCATGTGATATTGGTCTCTCTCTAACTCTTTCTCTCTCTCTTTCCATCCCCCTTCCTCTTTTCCTCCTTTCTGTTTCCTCTCTCCTTCCTCCTCCTTCCCAACTGACTCTGGCCTTGTGTCAAACTGACAGAAAACTAGCCAGAACAAGGTTGATACTTTAAAAAGAAAATATCTCTGTCTCCTCCTCATCCCATTTCCATTTAAAGGTGTAGTCAGTGTAGGTCACTATTCAGAAAAAAATAACATTCACCTTCATGTAAATAGCTTTTCTTTTGTTTGAGGAGCTAACGGAGAAAACAATAAAGTCATATCCTTCAAAGAAGTTTAAAGGTAAACTGAGAGCCCAGGAATGTACAACTCATGGGGAGGGTCAGAAGTCCTGAGTGAACAAAGTCCTGAGTCAGTGTGGGTTTTTGACATAGGCATGATCATGTCAAGGACCGTATCTGTAAACCATGGAAGAATGGCAAAGCTTTACCTCATGTAGGTTGAGGTTTGAAGGAATGGAAAAGTCTTTCTTTGGTTGGTGTGTGGATGTCAGTAGGGTAGAAAATGTCCATTATAGTTTTTCTCCCAAGACATTTACAGCCTGAAGACAGCTCCCCTGCAGAGACTTCTCCTACCTAGATTGGCCTGTCTAGGTATACCTGTCTCTTTGGCCAGCTGTATACCATAAACTCTGCTGCCTTGTTGATCAGTAGGCAACAAATCTGCCTCCTTGTGCAGCTGTATGTAACAACCCACCTCTCTATTCCGTTGCATGTAGTGAAGATGCTGGGCTTCCATGCTTTTCTTCATCAGAGAGCCCTGTCCACCCAGCTTGCCTGTGTGTCTGTGCCTGTCTTCTCTTCATTCCCTCACTGCCATAGTTAGTTCATCCTTGCAGCCTTGTTGGAGGCAGAAATAGCTGCTTATAAATAACACATCTCCATTTTTAAAAATAAATCCAGATATGAGTGGGTGCTTCACTTTCAAGATAAAATAAAAGCTCATTTATCCAGAATACTGACATGACATACAAGTGAAGACTACCTTTATATGTAACAATTATTATCTTTGCATATAAACATAGGAACTTAATCTCCCCTTCACTGTTTTTTTTTAATTAATAGAGTTTTGTTCCAGTAATAATTTAACCTAGATAACAACATATGAAACATGGCAAGCTAACCTAGCTATGAACAAAGTAAAAGCTTTCTTAATTTAAAATAAATACAGGTAGGTCTAGAAATAAAGGAGTTGGGCTGTTTTGTGGCATGTTTTCTCAGCAGCCACCCACTCTTCCTCCTTCTGCAGAACCCCGAGTTTGTTTGTGTAGCAACAAACAAACAAATGCTCAGTAGTACAGGAGGGATCACAGTTACCTGAAAAAGTCATGGACTCCTCAAGGACTGGGGCCTACACAGTTCTTGTGCCAAAAGAATGTCCTTATTGCTTGAGACTTAGTGGTATCTCTTGGACTGAGTTTTTCCTGACAGAATACTGTATTATTTGCCTTCATGCTTTCCAGTCATCAACTCTTAAACAGAAATTTGTTTTAGATCATAACCCCCCCCCCCCCCCAAAGCATAGTGTAGCTAAGACCAAAGAAGACCAGGGTTTCTGGGGCTGCACTCACTTGTCTGATCTATTTAAAATTCCAGATGAAAGCACCGATGATAAAGACACTGTAATTAGCCACCCGAGCCAATGGACTTCCTCTTCTCACACAATTTATTGTTCACTTTGAAGCTTTGTTCTCCACATTTGTCTGAGGTTATAATACTATTCTTGAGCCAAATGAAAAGGCATTTAACAAATTAATGTGGCTGCTGAGTGCAGAGAAATTGTTCCTTGGAATCTGACTTATGGCTTCCACATCCTAAACCCTGAATCTGTGAGTCAGCAGATAGGATAGATGATTTCCCTGTACATCTTCTAGAAAGAATGTGTGTCTCCTATGTATATATCTTCAGAAATTGTGTGGGCATTCAGCATAAGAGAGAAAGATCACATTCTTTAAATGATGTTTTCCTCTTTCAACACTGATATGAGAAGAGATATTATTTTTGTTGAATCTTATTTTACGTAGGAGTAAAACTGTCTCTGTTTATGCTATTATTTATATCTGGTTTAGGAGAAAGAAACAAATAAAATACTGGTAGGAAGAACGTTCCTTTCTGCCTGATGCTTTGGCCATTTGAGTCCTCTGAGCATCTGCCAGAGCATTCTGCCCACAGGACGCAGCCCTCTGCCGCTTTCCCAGCAAGAGGAAGCCTCTTTGCTACTTTACTGCAAAGAATCAGCTAACGTGGCCATGTGTGATGTGTCCTTGGAGAGGAACACTGCCTGTCCCAGGGAGGCCTGAGAAGACTTGAGCTCTTGCCATGGCTAAAAGCTGATGATGTATTCCTGATGACTTCATCCCCAAATGGAAGTGGGATCCCAGTTTCGGTCTTAGTGAAGTCTCAGGGAAAGAACAATTTGAAAACATGAAGAGGAGAGATCGTATTTTCTCTTCTGAATTAAATGAAGGAACCACTACTCAGACCCTGTGATAAAAAGTTCTCTACAGCACTGATAACAACTCTAAAAGCACAGCAAAGGAGAAAAAAAAAGAGTGAGAGAAACTGCCAGTGGCATTTTTCAGTGGGACTCCTGAAAGAGAAATGTAGAAATTAAATGCCCAGTCCTGTGCTTTACCTTTTCATCCCATTTGTTCTGACCCCTCAGACTAGTTTCTAGTTTTCTTTTTAGAAAAAGGGAACAGTTCCGTTCCAGTTGACGGTAGCATCTCTCCATTTGGTCCTGATTGCCATTTCCACTGAAGAAAACCGTCTTCCTGACCCACGTTTATCTTCGTGGTGCTCTCCTTCCCAGCGATGGGAGTGAGTATCTGAGGATGGATCAACAGCATTGACATCAGGCCGGTCAGCCTTTTCCAAGGAAGCCAGAATCCAGGGAGAGGAGACAAAGGGTGTGGCCCTGGCGCAGGTTGCTACAGTCTTATAACTGGCTAGGTAGAGGGATTCTTGCAGGGAGTGTGTTAAAGTGCCCATAAAAATCAGTCTGTAGCAGCTGGGCTTGCTGTGTGTTGGGATGAGACTATTCATGTCACTTAATGCAACATGATGTGACACATAGGTGTTTGTCACTGATACGAGGAAACAGGTGAAAGGAAAGCTCATCACTCTTTAAGAAGAGGTGTTTATTTTGAGGCAGAGTGTGGAAAGGGAATCTGGAACTCGTTTTCAAGGCCTACATTGGTCTCATTTTAGCCAGGTGACATTTGCGAAATCACCTAAAATACCATTGCTGTGCTTCATCGATCCATTTATTGGCTAAAATAGCAACTATACGACTAAGAATAGCTATGAGAGTACCTGCCTCATATGGCTACTGGGAGTTTAATGCCAGCGTTACCGACACTCTCAACACAGTGCTCAGAACAGAATGTGTGGGATGTTTGTAAGCAGGGAAAGTGGTGTTTAGCTCACAGGCAAGGTAAAGTGAAAATGGTAATAGATATTAAAGAACACGTGGCCAATATCACACTAAATTAAATGAGCTAATACGCATTTATTGTAATTAAAGAAAAGAGAGAAGCTGCACAAGTATGTTCTTAGATCCATTTCGAAGTGTAGTGAGAGCAACAGAAAGTTAGTTAACCCCAAGTGTATAATGCTAAATGCAAACTCAGTCACTGACAGAACTGTACAACCTGAGCCAAGGTTGCTGGACAGAAGTCAAGTTTGTCTGCTGCTAACATCTTGACAAAGGTGCCAGTATTTAAGTACATTTTAAGGTTAATCATTTTTTCCTCATGACTCTAAGGAACTGGAGTTGTAATTGAGACAAAAATGGTCTTCCTGTCTGTGTCTCTCCCAGGACCTGCTAAATGTTTGCTAGCACTTACGAACAGTGGATTCCCTAGTGTCCCTCCCAGCATCTGGCTCATAATCTGCTCTCAGAAATGCCTTTTGAATTAATCAGGACAAAAATTCATTCTCACTTTAGCTGCTTATGTCACCTGATGATTGTCTTGTGTTTGCTTGTGTACAGAACTCTGCATCTCCTTTGCTTTTGCATGCTTTTCCCCGGGCCTTAGGTACCTCATGCTTAAAGATATGGGCCTTGGAAAAGGATTTCTGGAATTGGACTCTTCAACCTTTATTTTTTTGTCTTGTCTAAAATTTCTTTTCCTTGTTATTTCTAACACTAACACATACACATGCGCGCGCGCGCACACACACACACACACACACACACACAAATACCCATGCACAAAAATGCCTCCATTTTAAAGCCACACATCACAGTGGATTTAGAGCTAGGCAGTGGCTTCATTTCAGAAACTGAGTCTAATTTTTTCTTGCAGCGATAGCATGAATCACCACACAGCTGCTGAACACCACATCTCTGGGTGCACAAAAGCACACACTTTGGAGTCTCAAGTGCTCACCTATTGTGAGATGTACAAGCTTTTTCTGTGAGGGCTGGCCACTGTAAAAGTGCAGATCAAAGACACGCTCCATTTTCCAGTCCGATAAGAGCTGCCTATTTGTGCAGAAAAGGATGCTGTAATTTCCATTGATCTTGCACAGCCAAATAGGAAATGTGGGAGTCTTCAGCATGCTGCCCACCTGGAAGGGAAAAGGGGAATGTGGATGAATACCTAGATCTTTCTGAATCGTGAAAGAGGCTGATGCATTCTCCTGTTTAAAAAGCAGTTTTGAGCTTCCTATTGTACATGTAGCTTGCAGACCACTGTATATGGTATAACACTCAAAATCAAGGCTTCATGGAGATTTAATTTGCACTTGAAAATGGTAATGCTTCACTTTGCTCCAAATGGATTGTGCATTTTAAAAATGGAGAAGGTGAAGATTTTATAGTTTGGCCTTGTAGTGAGATAATGTAAACTGAAATATAAAGATAGATGTGAAAAATGAGAATGCCAATTCTGTCTGTGTCATTGACTAGTGTAATTGCTTCCAGTGTAATTCCTAAGGTTCCAGCATTGGGCAGTGCTTCATGTAGCAGATGTCAAGTTTCTGGTAACATTAACCATGTATAGTAGAGAAAGAAGCTTCTAGAATGTGGGAGACACACTTGTGCACACATATACCTACAAGGTAGTATGAAGATTCCTGATGAAAACATATATACAATAGGGCATATTGGTTTCATATTACCATGATGAGTTGAAATTGAGAGCAGTGAAGAACTCATCAAAATTAGGTGAAAGTAGAAAAGGGCAAGCTTAATGCCATGACAGTGGATAGAGAAGAGCCAGAATGACCTGACATAAGATGATAAACTGGTTCTGCTCATTTATGGGAGCTGCCCTCTTTTTGATTCCCTCCAGCTTTCTGCTATTCAAATAAGGGACTAAGCATGGCAGTCCTTATTGGTCAATGTTTGGCTCTGGGGTTTACAGGACAGCAACTCTGTTGTGAAGAACATGGTTGATTTTGATTGGATCCTCCAGAGGTTGACATAGTAACAGTTCAGTAGACCACGACACTAACATATTGGGATGTTGATGGCCTAGAATGTTTCTAGTTGTACTGTGTGAAGCCAAGTGACTCCCATAGTGTCCCAGAATTGCTTGTTTCCCACATTTGTACTTGATAGAGAGCAAGGCCAATGTTAAAGATTTTTTGTTTTTTTAAGGCTGAATGGGTTTGTATTATCACTGTCCTACCTGCTATAGTTGTTCTGTCGAGGTACTGTAGGGAGCAGTCATGAAGGGAAAGTTGACTGGTATGCAAATAAATGCCTGCTAGCCTGTTCTAATGGCCCTGTGGGTAATGGATTGTCTCGAATTCACGCGGAAGCATTATGCTGAAGACCTACATTTGTTTGATTCTACAGAAGACAAATTTGACAATTCAGTTAAAAATTCAGGCACCTGATACAGAGATCAGCTAGGGGCCAGCTAGTGGTTTTAGAAAAGGGAGTATCTAGGAGAGCCATCCAAAGTGTCTTGCCATGACAACCAGCCCTGGGAAGCTCTCAGATTTTAATGACTTGGCTTTTAAGACTCTTTTCTTTTTCACCATGTCTTGAACCATTGCTGACTTGTTTATATAGATAGAGTATTTCTTCTCTAGAACCAGCCTCTTTGAGCAACCATTACTAAATAAAGACCACAGCAGTTTAGGGGAACCATGGACAAACCCAGTTCTGTATAACCTGAAGAACATTTAAAATGTAGTCCAGAGGGCAATTAAAACCAAAGGTCAGAGACATAAGGACCATTATGAGCTACTATGTCTAAGGTTCTTGACAAACACTTCACTACACAAGTAGCTAGCCCCAGAATTTGGCAGAGGATGCCTGAGGTAATTCCTCTTCTTTTATTAATCTCTAAGGATAAGGGTTTTCTTAGGGCCAAGGGCAGTAGTTAGGACCTGTTTGTGAAACTATGAGCCTCATCCACATTGAAGTCTGATTTAAAGGCTCCTCTTCTGGACCCTGTAAGATCTCATAAAGAGGTTTAGATATGAGTTCAAACAGAAATACAGATGTAGCAGTCAGTACCTGTCATTACCAGAAAGGGCACATAATTGTTACTCATAGGCAAGAGTGGCCATGTCTGAGGTTGAGTTCTTGAAGGAGCTGGACAAGTTTCACAGGAACTGAGGATCAGGATGTACTTGGACAAAGAAGAAGGCATCCATTAAGTCTGGAACTAATCAAGCATGTTTCTGGGAGTTTGTCCTAAGAGAAGATAAAATTTGGTTCAATATGCTATGGAGAGGTCATAGCCTCTTTAATGGTTCAAAGGTCTTGTCCAAGTTGGTTAGTATCACCAGGCCTTTGCCTATAAAGATGGGTGTATTACAGATGCAGTACAGACTGGTGGCCAAAAGTTATGGAAAGAGGTTGTAGCCATCACTGGGACTCAGACTTGAAGGGTTATTGGGAGAAGCTAGAAAAGTTCAAAAAAAACTATTTCAGGGGTTTCAGACAGTATCATCCAGGCAGAATGGCATCCCAGACCTCAGAAGAAACTTTTGAGAACCGACTACAAACTTGTGAAACAACTGTAGTACTGTTTCAGAGAAAGTTTATGTCCAGATTATTGATATAACCTGGGGTACATGTCGACCACTGGTGGGGACGGGAAAGAGAAAGACTAGAGGCTGAAAAGGGGAATAATGGGAAGGCAGGTTTAGAACGGGAGAGGAATGGCAGGGTAGGGAAGAAAAGGGGATGGATGAGAGATAACTAAGGATGTTTGAAAAGACCCATATGGAAGCCTATTTTATAAGATATAGCCATATCTATGTATGCTATTACAATTGCTCTTGGATACCTACCATAACTTGATGGTAAGAGCATATTTGCTGAAGAGACCACACACTTTGGTCACAGGACATGAAAAAAATTAAGTTAGAACTGACAAGAAAGCTTCTGGCTAGCTTTTATAGGATTGGAAGGTATTGTGTAAGCTTCTGGTGAGATGGGAGGAATCATTAACAGTTTTACCTAGATTTGAACCTGTGCACTTCAATAATGACCCAGGTAGCATGATATCTCATGGGTATAATAGTGGCATTAGTGTTACAGAATTAAGTAACCACTTTCTAATAGGATTTAAGGCCTTCTCCAAAGGAGAAAACATATGCCTTGTACTTTAAATCTAATCAAGAATCCATGGTTGGGAACTGAAAAGCCGTGGCGTCAACCAACTGCTGTTATTTTGTTAAGGGGACAAACTGTCCTCTAAACTCACAACTCTATACCCATAGATGGGTGCGGACCTCAGACATCATCAGAGAATTTTCTTTGTGCAGTGGACAGTCGTTTAGTGCAAATACTCACAACTTATCAAAGGGATGAAAATGTGTCGCTGGACTGCTCAGTCACAAATGGGACATCTCTGTCACCCCTCCCCAAGCCAAGGCTCAGGGACCTTCTGGGAATAAGTGCCAGAGGTCAGTGTCTTCTGGACAGGAAAGGCGTGCTGCACACATGGACTCACAGAAGTGGGAGTTACTTAGAAAAGACCTGATAAAGTTTAAGCTAGTCAACACTCTAGCAGTGAGTGGCTCCCGAGCCCATGCCCCTAACAGAGGAGCTATTGACAGTTGATGGCTTCTGGGGGAAGGACAGTCAATTTTCTTTAAGGGTGTTGCTCCTAGTAGGTTGGCCTCTCTACAGTGGAATTAATCAGAGCATTATATTAAAAAAGTTTCCAAGGAGCTGGGCATAGTGGCATACCCTTATAATCCCAGCACTCAGGGAGGCAGAGGCAGAGGCAGGTGGAGCTCTGTGAGTTTGAAGCCAGCCTGGTCTACAAAGTGAGTCCGAGTCCAGGACAGCCAAAGCTACACAGAGAAACTCTGTCTCAAAAGACAAAAACGAAAGTTTCCAAGAGCATTGGAAAATAAAAGTAAGTAGTAAGTGTTGCCTTGCATAATTTCCCAATATCTAAACTTAGTTGTGGATCAGGTAACTTCAGTGTCTCACAGTCACACACACAGCTTCTATAGAGATACAGTTGTGCTCAAGAACCTGGCTCCATCTAAGTCAGGCCTTCAGGTTGCATTTCCTTCAGTGACCATGCACCTTCAGTAGGCCCTGGACACAATAATATTATAGTGCATATATATATATATATATATATATATATATATATATATATTTTTTTTTTTTTTTTTTTTTTTTTTTCTGAGTCAGGGTTTCTCTGTATAGCCATGGCTATCTTGGACTTACTTTGTAGACCAGGCTGGCCTCAAACTCACAGAGATCCACTTGCCTCTGCTTTCCCAAGTTCTGGGAGTGCTGTTCATCATTTTTTAAAGGCAGGAAAGCACTGTTTTTTTCCAAAAGAAAAATTTTGCATCATTAATTCTTTTAAATATTAAGAATGATTTTTTAAGCTTGATGTGATGGCACATCAAGTTACAATTATAGTATTCATGAGGTAGAGGCAGGAGGCTCACATGTTCAAGGTCAACCTGGGCTGCACAGTAAGTACTAGACTAACCTGAACTATGAGCCAGACATTGTCTCAAAACAAGGACAGAAAGACAGAAAAAAAAAAGCATCTTTATTGTTGTTGTTGTTGTTGTTGTTGTTGTTTTTTCCTACTTAAAAAGATAAACATGAGCTACTTGGAAAACACCATAAGGTGTCTACATAAGGTTGGAGAGAGCAACTAGCCTCTGCTCTTGCTGTCCTCCTGGAATGGAAGGACTCAGGGGAGGGGCCCTTTCAGTCCTTTTCTTCAGTCCTTGGGATTGTGCTGTTTGTTCAGGAACCAGCTCTGTTCTATGGAAAAGTAAGCTTTGAAAGATCACCACATGTTATAAACCCAAGTATTAGAGGCTAATAATATGATTCTTTTTCCTTTTAGTAATTTCATTCAAATTGCTTCATATTTTTTTTTTTTTTTAATCTTCAGTTGTGAATGAAACTGGAGACACTTTTGTCTTTCAGTGTTTCACTTTTGGTTGCCTAGAAAAAACATTGTGCTTAAAAGAAAGCAAGGCTTGTTCCAGTTAATAGTTTAGAAAGGACACATCCCTAGCACCCAGCCAGGACACAGTCATGGCAGGTGCTCTTCTGTCTGCCCTAGGATTCGTGCCTCTGGTCCAATGCAACCTGAGTGTGCCGGCAGTTTCATGTC